TATGGCAATGTTGTTATTTGCATAAGTTCAATAAGAATCTGTTGTCCGTATAATAGGATGTAATTGGAAACTGGTTATATTACCAAGGCTTTGACTGGTATATCATATTTGAAAAAGAGATGCATAGATTCAGATATGACCAGACAGTTTTAAGGAACTAAAACTATCTTATAGAAGTCAATAAAACCCTTGGCTATACTGACCTGGTACCTTGCTTACAAGATTCCCAGAAGCCTTACCAGGTGAGTAAAGTAGGTCAGTTTCTGGTAGGTGCAGGAATCTTAAGATATTTGGGGGAAATTGAGAAGAGAGGAACTCACTCAACTCTATAGATATTGCATGGAAAGTGTGATGGCAAATCCTTGCCCTGGCTTTTCTGGCCTGAAGAGACCTTTTAAAATTCAATCTGAAAAATTTCCCTTATGGAAAATTCCAAAAAAGCAAATTTAATAGCGCCCATAAGGTTATTATTTTTGCTACTCCTATGTAAATAACAGATTAAGTTTATTAAAACTAGTTTATTGTTTGCAAACAATTCAGTATTAATTTGGCTATCTTTGATAAAAATGATGGTGATTTTAGAAAGAAAAATTGTTTCAGTAATATACCTTTGTGAATGTTAGATTCTAGTACTGTTCCTTATCTCTTAAAGTTTTGCTCCTACTTGTAAACTGGACTGGATCCTGAATTCTTCTAGTTTCCCCCAACATTTGGCTTACTCTCCAAACTGAATTTCCAATTTTTTTTTTTACCCTTCTGATTTGGAACTAAAACTGCCCTGTTCCCAATGCCATGCAAACAAACGTAAAACCACTTGATACAAACTTTTCATGTGTAGACAATATTTGTGCTTCTTGTAGAAAAATCACCAGGGCTATTCAAACCGAAAACCAGAAGACTCTAGAAGATTGTCACTGCCTGCCTTCACTCCATCTGAAGGTGCTTCAAGCTAGACATCTAGAAATCTTCTCAACTGGCTGCCTTTAGAACTCAAAAACTAGAATTGAAACTGTGCTTCAATTATTAAACATTGTTTTTCTTTTGTTTTTATAGAGATGCTTCTTATTAAATACCTAATTTCTTATACCATAGGCCTAACTTGGGGAGCAACCTACATCGACTCCTGAGATGAGAGACAACTGTTTAATCGAACTGACTTATTCTCCAGACTGAGACTGGTTTCTAAAACTGATCTATAATAATAATATCTCAATTGGTCCTTTCCCAATGCTTCAATCTAAGAATAGTGAGCTGACTATAAATTTATATATAGCAAGCATGTCTCTAATCCATATACCCCTTCTAAGGGACACAATGAACCCAAGGAAAGCATTGCCTTCAAAATGTTTTGTTTGATCTATGATATTTTCTGAGAGAAAAGTCCTGATCAAAAGGGGAAAATTGAGGAATAGAGTGAAGAAATAAAAGGGACTACTGGAGTCAAATTGCTAAATTACTAAAATCATGTAAGTTGAGGTATGAGGAAACAATTCTATTCGTGTTCTAACTAGCTTGGGAACTTAAACATTTTTGAACTTTCTAGTCCTGCCTCAATGCCTGAATATATAGCAAACCTCCAGATAACTCTCTGATTACTCTCTTGAAGGGCTAAAGAAAGAATGTTCATGTACCCAGACCACTTAACATCCAGTAACCAGACCACCAATCATCTAGAGGATTATCATTTTGCACCAATCCTGAGGCTAAGATTGCAAGACTGATTATTCTCAAGAATGTACTTTTTACTATAAGAACCCTCAGTTTTTCTTTCTTCTTTGGAAAACTCTGGCTATTGCTTAAGTTGTGTTTCCAGTTTGCAAACCCTTAGAATTTTAAATAAATCTTTATCATTTACCTCTAGCAAAGCCTCCAGACTCTTTTTGAGTTGGTTTGACAAGAGCGATCCAGGATTTATTTGCAAAGTCACTTATTTTCTAAGTCCAATTCTCTTGATGCTATCCAGGCTTGCTAGGAAAAAAAGGGAGGCCAAGTGAGGAATGGAAGAGGAAGAAAGGGTCCAGAAGCTGAGAATTATCATAGAGTGGAGAACAAGTATGATAGGCCTGAGGATGTGAGAACCAGAAGAAAGGGTGGTTGCTGTGCATTGAGAATGAGTTTTTGGATTGAAAATTTCAGGAATGGAACATAAACACATATGTAACCATTCAATATAAGAAATATCACAATGCAGTACATGGTTAACTGCCAATGAATGGCATTATAAATAATTAATGTTATAAAAACTTGGGGATATTTTGTGGAGGGAGCCATTATTAGGTCACATGTATGTATCTGACCATGTATCAATGAAGACATTCCTCTAAAACTTCCCTTTAGCAATTATTGTTTGAGGGAATAATTGTACAGGGATGAATTCTCTTGGCCATTTCTTCTGGGAAATTTAGTTACTGAAGAACTGAAAGGGCTTCATTGTGAAAGAATTTTTATCTATTAAGTAAAAGGAAACATTATAAAAAGAATATAATTTGGCCTTGGCTGGGTAGCTTAGTTGGTTAGAGCATAGTCCTGATACACCAAAGTTTCAGGTTGGATCCTGGGTCAGAGCACATACAAGAATCAACCAATGAATGCACAAATAAGTGGAACAACAAATTAATGTTTCTCTCTCTCTTTCCTAAAATTAATCAATAAAACTTGTGAAGTGTTTATTTCTAAAACAAACAAAAAAGAAAATAATTAGAAGCCTATATGCTATTTGAGAAATTCAATCTCTGCACAAAAATTCACTTCATCCTTCAGTTTCTTCTTTCCTTTAAAATGTATTTACATAAAATCTGGTTTACAAGACAGAACCAGTTAGGAATATAGTCCAAGAAATTTACCACTGAATAGAGACACATATGTGTTTTAGTTCTGGGAAAACGGCCTTGCTAACTTTCTTCCTGAATTTCTTGTTTTTTTGAATTGGAAAGTATGTGGTAATTTCTCCCTTTGCTGAACTTTCTTGCTTTTACAGTTTCTCCTACCTGAATTTTAAGCACCTTGTCCACACCATTGTTATTCTAGGCTATATACTAGTCTACACAGCATTAAATGACCTTTAGCTTTCACTTAGTTTAATGGATCAACACATTTACCCAACTACATAACTTAGACTCTTTTGGGGTTTTCCAGTCTATTTTAATCTATTTAAACCCAACACTGGCAGATTTCCATTTCCTTTGTTCCTTGTGTAGACTTGGTTTATGCCTGTTGGTCTCTAAAAGGGACAGAGCGGAGGCAGCTGTTAAAAAAAATGAGGAGATTGGCAGTTTTAACCGCACAGATTGGTCTAATAGCTTTGATATGCTAAACTTGCTAGCTCCTCCCAGTGTACCTTTCAGATTTTGCATCACAACACCAAACTGAATCCCAAAGGAAACCGCGGAGGGTTTTTAAATTAAAAAGAAAAGAAAAAAATGCAAGCCAGTAATACCGTTCTTTTCAATCAACACAGATTCATTCTGAGAACTGCAAGCCTTCACAAATCTGCTTACACTAGAGACCTTTAGAACTGGAGAAGCCGAGAATACTGACCGTGTTCTAAAGAGCGAAAACAGGTGATGTCATAACGCACAGTCCTGTGTGGCCACAGCCAAGGCCGGGCGGGGAGTTGGGAGCACAGAGCTGCGCGTCAGTGGGCGAAGCAAGTTATCTCCGGGGCCCGGAGGACACCGGTGAGGACCGGGCACCAATCAGGTTCTCGCAGGGCGCCTGCCTTTGTTCTCCCTGGGGAACAGGTTTTGGGGTGTCTGGCGCCGGGAACCGCATTCGACCCGCACGCGCGTTGCTGGCCTGGTGGGGGGAACTGGCTCCTTCACTAGCCTTGTCCCCCTCTAGTGCTGTCAGCCAGAGCTTTCCCCAGTTACTTCTGCCTTCTTCTCTCCACAGCGTGAAAGCAAAAATTCTGACTCACCATTTTTAGCTTTTGAAGAGGCTGGTCCAGCCCAGTAGTTTCAAAGGCAATTTGTTCTCTGACCCTTCCTTTCCAAGCAGGGCTGTGCATTCTGCAGGTATCTGACCAGCTGCCTTAGAAAGGACTCTTGGGTGAGAAAACAAACCTGCCTTTTTGGCCCTTTAGTGTTAGACAAATAAAGGAAATTTTATTACTGAGAGGACTGCGAAAATGGGCTTTAGATGGAGCGAAAACCACGAAACCAGAGGTTTTGTGTCTTTCCCCTTCTAACTGATTAATGGTGTAAATGTGCCCCAAACATCTACTCTCTGCCCAAGCCTCAGCTAACTGGTCTTTTGGAAAACGAGGCTCACGATAAATGATGCATAAAGTTCTTAGAGCTCCCTGGATGCATAGCGCTACGTGACTGCAGTCTTCTTTACAGCTAAGCTAACATTTGGGCTGAGAGAAAGCCTAACCACTGACGTGATGGTATGAACATTTTAGCTCCCCACCCCCACCCCGCCCCGCTACCTTCCCAACCTTTCTCAAGAAATCAGGAAATATTTAGTTCAGTTTTAGATCCACTAGTGAGCTCTAGCTCTCGGCTATTTATCTCTCACCATTTCTGCAGGGACCTAGAGAAGGGGGCGTGGCTTGCCTTCGGAGAGGGACTGGGCTTCCAGGGGTCATTTACATATGACACACCTCCTTTCTCCTATTGGCGGAGCAGCACAAACTGTATTCCCTCCCACCCCACTACCTAACTAACCCGCCATCTCCTTCAGTACCGAGCCTCCAAGATAAACTTAACTTGCCCGGAGATTCAAGGCGTCCTCGGCTTCTGTGATTGGCCGGCGCAGCTCCCAACCTAGCTCTAGTTGCTCATTGGCGCGGGCTAGTGCTCAGGGGCGTGGCCAGAGCTGTCCGAGAGGGGGCGGTACCGAAGCGTGGAGGTGGTGAAGGTGGTGGGGAGGCGGGGGCGGGGCCGCACTGAGGCGCTGCGGCGGCGGCGGAGGCAGCGGTGGCGGCTGCTCTTGGTAGCCAGGCGGGGGCGGGGGTCTGGAGGATGAGGGCGGGTGAAACAACGGGCCGGTGAGGAGCCGCCGCCGCTGTCGCCGCCGTCGCTTCGGCAGCCGCTGCGGTAGTCGCCTCGGACAGCGCCGCTTGCTCTTGGGGTCGTCGCCTGCTATCCCGATATCCCGCCGGAGGAGGCTGAGTCTGCAGCGCGGCGGGCGGCGCAGGGACGGTCCGGCTTTGCAGCGGCGCCGGCGGTCGCAGTGACAGCCCGGTCCCAGCCCGCCGCCTGCCCTCGGTACTGCAGCCACGATGAACCGGGGCGGCAGCAGCCCGTCGGCCGCCACCAACTACCTGCTCTGTACCAACTGCCGGAAAGTGCTGCGGAAGGTACGGGCTCGGCCTGGGGTCCGGCTCCAGAGGGTCGCTTCCTGCCGGCCAGGGCTCGGGCTGCTCGGCCCCGGGGCGCACTCTTGGAGCGCGGCTCAAGGGTCCCGGGGCAGCTTCCCTAAACCGAGACCGAAAAAGGGGGCGTGGGTTGAGGGTGGAGGGTTAAGATTGCTGCAGCTTTTTATCTCCGCGGGAACAGACGCTGGTCCCGAGGGATTGGGAATTTTTTTTTTTTTTTTGCTAAGGGGTTGTCTACTGTGTTCGGCCCATTTTACCTAAGCGCCCTGCTCCTCCGGCCAGGGAGCGAGGACCTGTTCGATCCTCCTGGTGCTGTTAATGGAGGTCGGTGTGCAATCAGAACAGCCTTGTCTGGTCTTGAGGAACCTGGCTGCCTCTTCGCTGTGGCTGTCTCTTGCGGGTGTTTTTGTTTACTCGGTTCCCTTCTGTCTTCCTTGCGTGCTCCCCCTAACAACCCCCTTTTACGTTCTTTTTTATGGTTGTCTTGTGTCTATAGCTCAGTCATGAAAGGAACTGGCAAAGCAGCTTGAACTTTATGCCCATGGGAAATGCTATTCGACCTTACAGTTCCTCAGTCTGGGATGAGGGGGGGAGAGACTGAGGTGGACGTGAGTTATCCCTTTTTAGCAACCCCTCCCCCGCTCGCGTTTGTCCAGAAAAATCAGACGCACCTTCCGCTTATTGCTTCCCAGAGTGACGGATAGAAAGTTTACTCCAGCATTGTTTAGCTTACTTGGCTTAATCGCTCCGTTAAAGGGGTAGGAGGGGAGGGGGACATGTCGCTTTAGACCGTGAAAAGCTTTTAATCAGACTTTAACACTGGTCACTGGATAATATAATAGTCAATTTATTCTTTTCCCAACTCTATTTTTACATTTCATTAAGTGGAAACATTAGTTGAGGTGCTTCTGTTTGTCCAGTACAAATGAATTAAAATTGCTGAGCTGTGCAAATGCGTCGGGACGGAAAGACTTAAGATGAATAGGGCACCGTTTTTAGTCAATTTATCTAACTACACTTCAGTTGGGAATGTTCTTTATGAATTAAAAAAGAAAGGAAAAACATGTAAGTAAGCAAGCTCAAATATTTGCGCTCTTTGTCCAAAAACTGTTTTTCTTACTCTGTGGGTCAGGCCAAGTGCCAATCAAAGTTGTTTTTCAAGCCTCTTTTCCCCGCAGTAGGGCTGCTGCCCCCCCCCCCCCATTTTATTGGAGAGCATGAAGAAATCAAAGGGATTACAGATTTGAAGTTAATCAAACAGTTAAATATGCCTTAAATTGTATTTATTGGGTATGTGTTTTTTAAAAAAACAGATTTCATTAAATGTTCATGTTAAGTATATGCAGTTATTTTTTTCCATAAACTCTGGGATCAAATTACAGTTGATACTTGTTCAGCTCATTGTAGGGCAGCTTGTGAGAAATGTAATGGATCAGAAGTGAGGATCAGCTTAGTTGAATGTTAACTCTTTCACTTCAGGGCTAGATGTCATCTGAACTAAGCTTTTTAAAAAATGACGATGGTTATGTCCTAACTTTAAAAGTAATGTTATGTCTTTAACATGAAAAAAAGTGTTGTTTGATAACATCTTTGATTAAACTCAAGCCTGGTTAAAATAAGTTATTTTTTTAACTGAATAAGGAAAAAAGCTATATTGATTTTTTTTTTTTTTTACTGACTGGCAATTTAGTAGGCTAATAAAATGTTTGAAGATGATATTAGGCTTCAAAATTTATTTTATTTTATTTTATTTTGAGAGAACCATGGCTATGGATTCATCATACTTTGCTAGCTAGCATCCTTTATATTTTTCTCTTAGCTTTTTAAGAAACTATTTTTATTTACCTAGAAAGAACATCCTCATTTCTAGTCATAATTAAAAGAAAAAGGTATATGGAAAATGGATATTTACCATTTTCATATTTTATAATTGTATGCATACTTCTGCCAATATTCCAGGTTTCAATAACTCCAAGGGGGTATTTAATATTGATTCATGCAGTAGCATGAAATAGCTTTAGATGGAAATGGGATTGTTTGAGCCAGTTATGACATGACTTGGCAACATTTGTAGCTTTTTAAGAGCAGTATTCTTAAGTGCTCTTTAAAAATATCAAGTGTTTAGCATTTTAAAGTCTTCATCATTCTAAATGCATGTAAGAGTTTATTTCTAATAAAAAGATTGCTTTCTTTTTGATACAAAATATATAACTAAGTAAAATTCATCAACTCTCAAAATGTGATTCTCCAAATATATCCCATTTTCTACTTAATAATGTGTTCAGTAATAACCAAGTGAGTCATAGCATTTTGAATTTTTGTTGGGAAGAATGAAACTCATGCACACTGAGTGTGAATTACTCTTTTCTGTTATAATCCTCATTAATGATGGGAGAAGAGTCACCTTTATATGTGTTATGATGCCTTTTTCTCTTAGTGGCTTAATTTGTAGCAATGTGTTGCATTTAGGGGAATCTTCAAAAGGAACTGGATTCATCTTCACATGAAATAATTTGGTGTAACCCAATATCTGAAAATTGAATAGTATATTGTATAAGAATCACATTTATTCTTAGAATTGCCTTTATAATTTTGATTTAGTGTCCTCCAAAATAAGGAGACTTCTTAAAATACTTAATATACCTAACTGGTAACCTTAGGTCAGTAAAAAAAATGGAGAGGTAAACCACAGAGGGAAAAAAACAAAACTGTCCTCAAATCTGTAACTCCTACTAAATCTAACTTGCTCTGTTATCAATAAAATAGTTCAATAAAGTTTCTAATAAAAGAGGAAATGCCTGTATTTATTATGGAAAAGTTAATGAATTTTGAAATGTAATACATTTTACATGAAGAAACTCCAGGGACAACTAGATAAATTGTAAAATGGAGTGCTAAACTACATTAAGAAAGGTAGGTAACTGTCAGTCCATTCATTTTCCAATAAATAAAAGGTGGCATATTACAATGGACTATCAAGCAGTTACTGCTATTGAAGTGACTAAAACTGTGCACTATAAGTTAGAGTTAACATTCTTAAAATGTTTAGTAGTTTCAGTGGTATGTTTGTTGGTTATTGCATTTTTCCACTTTGCTTATACAGTTACTTATTTTAACAACTCTGATGGTTTTAGAAGTGAAGAGATTGAAAATAAAATGGGAAATATTGGATTGAACCATATGAACCCAATTTTTCTAGTCAAAATTGTCAGTGAATAGCAATTTTATAATGGTCTGCCAATAGAATAGAATTGCTTTGACAATGAATTAGTGGCTATATATATTCTGCCTTGGTTAATCAGGTTTCTTATGTACATAATTTTGATTGTCAAACGCACTTTTTTACTTCATTTTATCTTAAATGAACTAAATAGTAATTAAGCAGTGAATTTATGATAAAAATCCATTATGCAGTTGATTTTCAAACTACTTTTTATGGAGTCCTAAAACGCTTGTGTCAAAAAATGATTGAGTTGCATTAAGTTTTAAAGTACATTTTAAATTATTTTAGAATTATAATTTAAAAATATAGCTACCCCAAAATATGTTTAATCAAATTTTAGCATTGTTTCAAAAGTTATCTTTGTTACAAGATTACTTTTGTATAGGACTTGAATTAAACTTTGTTCCTGCTACCTGTGTACATATAATTGAATATTTTTGTTAATATGATATTGATGAAAAAGATTGTTATTGATTATGAAGGCACTGGTCTTTAATAAAAAAGTTCATTACTGTACATATCTACTTATGTTAAATGTTTACTTGTGAGAACACAAACTTATTGTTATCAGTAATTGACACTTTGTCATAAAAACACATAAAAATAATTGTTTTGTATATTTACGTATTTCATAGTTCAGGTTCAATATAGGACTTCATTTGTAAAAGGGATTCTGCTGCTTTCCCCTCTTCCCCCACCATCAAATAAATTGCTGAAACATAACTGCTAATGTAGTGATTCTGGAATCCACAAAATATGCTCACAGTTAGGTCTTTGATAAGTTATTTAATTTTGGGCAAGTTAACTTCCTTGAAGCCCAGTTTTCTCTATAAGATATAGGTAATTTCTACTTACCTTATAGGTAGGCGCATAGCTTGAGAAAACTAATGAGTGTTAAAATACTTTGTAAATCATAAAGTACAACTATAAATATAAGAAAGAAAAAGTCAAGCCTTTTGTTTTCCCTTTTCCCAGATACCTTAGTTCTTTGTGTGTGTGGCAATATATTTCAGTACATACTGAGTAGTTTGGTTAGTCTTCACGTTTTTCTCCCCTGTTTACTTATTGCTTGTAAATGAGAGGTAAAGATATTATGCTTTTAGTTAGACTGGTCAACATTGTTAAGTTTTCACATATTTATTTGTATATAACTCAACCCCCACCCTGCCGCCTTAAATAGTAATCCAGTGAGTAGTTTTTGGTTTTTCAAATAATTAAATAAAATAAAATTGCCTTTTGGACACTTTAGTAGTTGAGGGAATTTGGTACTTGGTTTGAAAAGACTAAGAATTAAAGATGAGTGTGTTTAATAGAAGTTGGAGCAAATCTAGGGTAAAGCAAAGAATTTTTAATTATTTTAATTTGGGAGAAGAATTATGGAAGTAAAAGTCTTTTCCATCCTTTTCTTTTTTTCCCTTTTGAAGGGATTGGGTTATGTTTGTCTCAGTTTTTAGAGTGTTTTCACATTATCTCAGTTGATTCTTTTTTTTTTTTTTAAATCATCCTCACCCAAGGACATTTTCCCATTTTTTGTTCAGGTAGAGTGGGAGAGAGAGAGAGAAACATCGATGTGAAAGGGACACATCGAGTGGTCGCCACCCGCACAACCAACCAGGGCTGGAGACAAACTGCAACCGAGGTACATGCCCTTAGTGGGAACTGAACCCGGGTCTCTCTGGACCACAGGCCGATGCTCCAACTGCTGAGCCAAACCGGCCAGGGCTCAGTTGATTCTTACCAACAGAAAATTCAAGTGGCA